CTCCCTCCCGGTAAAAACCTCTGCCCGCACTGCGATGGGGAGCTGGGCTTTGTGACAAGCGTCCCCCATCTTCTCAAGTGTTTGGCAGTTGAACAAACCCCTTTCTTTTGCATCTGCCTCTCGATTTTGGGTTTTGTGGCAGCAGACAGCCGGACTTGGATTCTGATTACACTACTGCAAAAGCATAACTTCTTTGAGGATCTTGGTATCTCTTGAATAGTGGGTTTGATCCTATGAAAGACAACCATTGGAAAACCTCACTGCGTGGAAACTATAAGCACCTACTGAATGCCTAAGCCTACTTAACAATTGACTTAACTGTTTCTGCCCTGGAAAACGTGTGGGTAAATTTCACCCCCAAGGTCTTGTGTGAGTTTGTGGTCTTCAGAGAGCCTTTTTACCGGTGGCTTTCAGTGGACGGATGTTGCTTCTTTCCCCCTGTCCAAAGTGAATTTCAGAAAGGGTAAGAGATGGAGAGTGGGAAAACATGAAGAAATGAATGTTCTAGTCCAGCTTGTTCCTCTTCTTTGTCATTGGCTGGCCTCTCTTTCCCAATGCTCTTTTAGAGGGCTGTTCTCCACTCAGTCATTATATTCACAATTTATCGTTGGAGTGTTCTTTCATGTCCGTTCTTTTAAGTCTCATGGCTGTGTACTATCCGTCATGTGGCTCTTGGCTCTCAGCTCCACAGATGATTGAAATTAACTGAGACTACTGTGTGAAAGTGCTTGTGAGTGGAAAGTCTGTTCGATTTTCTGTGGTCTTTCTGTATCCTGCCTTCTTTACAAAAGGAGATTTCTCTCCTGTCATCTGTATTGATCCAGCCACAGAGTAATCAGATCAATATGGGGAAACCCAAATTATAAATGTGGCAAATTTCTTCACAGAGAATATTTCTGTTCAGGCCATTAGGATTGCAGATATGTTCCTCAGATTGCTTCTCCTAGAATCACTCCTGCACATATGTAAATAACCAGATAATTGCTATCTGATGGATCATCAACAAGGAAAGAGGAGCCTGATTTTGAAATAAGGATACGCTGGTGTGGGGTTTGAGCCTTTGCAGCCCCTTTCTGCTCTCAGTCTGCCTTCCACGTCATTTGTAAGCCTAGCCATACTTGATGGCTTCATTTGAAACCACCCACCTCATGGGAGATTGATGAGGTGTTCTCAGGCATTCAGGTAAACTCCTGTCAGACACGAGCACTTCTAAACGCATTGCCCTGAAGAACAGCAGCAGTGATGGAGTGAATAGGATTGGAGGTGTGGGAAGGTGAGGTGCGACATAATGCAGTGAGGGAAAGAGGAAATGTTAGCCAAGAGCCAAGATAGAGATTGAAGGGCGAAGAGTGATTGTGTGTGATCTGCAGTCACCAGGCCGCTAGTCTAACGGTGCCCCTTTTATTATTAAAACAAGAAATAGCCAGAGATCAAGCCAGATAGAACTGAGATGAGTCACACATCGTCAGAGGATAGTGATTCTACACAGAATGACTTTAAAAAAAAATGCAAAGACAAGGTACCTTCTAGCATTATTGTTTAGTTCTGTTTATGGACCAGAGCAAATGATAAGGGGTACATAATCCAATCATTTGTATTAAAAAGAGATGTTAAAAAGAAGGAAATGTTATAAAAATTTGTAATTTTGGCACATTTAATGCAGTTTCAAATGTAGTGCTGTGTATTTAAAAAGAGAGAAAAAAGAAACAGCTGTTAAGGCAGGTAGAACAGAAATGTGCTAGGGTGTAAAATGGGACCTTGTACTACCTCGTCTCTTCCTCCATCTGAGATTCTCTGGATTCTTACACCTAATCACGTGGAGCGATTGGAGGTTAACAGTGTATCTGGAGATGTAGCTTCAGTGTTGTGTACAGAGAGCAGCGGAGTGTGCGTGAGAATGGCTGGGCATGCAGACAGGAAAACATGTAAAAGGACGAAATGCTACACCTAGGAGCTCCAGTTTCCTGGCTGTATTTATCATTTGATTTTTAATTGCAATCCTTCCAAATATCCCTCCCTGCTCCAAACACACCGCAGAAAATCATCATCATCATTATCATTATCATCATCATCATCATCATCTGTAGCATCTACCAGACATTGGGCAATGTTCTAAAAATATTCTGAATATTTACTCATTAATTTTCATAATATCCATTTCATTAGCTGTATTAGGGTTATCCTCATTAGATAAAAATGCTGATATACAGAGTTGATATAATGTGCCCCAGGTTACACAGCTAAGGACAGCCATGTGTGTATGCTTGTGATGTGTATGCACACACACACATTTTCATGCCATACATTTAAGTAAATATGAATTAAAACATTTTAAAAGTTTGGAAAAATCTTTATTAAATTTCCCAAGATCTCATTTCTGAAGAGGCCTCCTTCCTGCAATTGATGCTAATGCCATTGGGCATTGGCTCAGAAGTATATCACCTGTGCCTTGAGCATCAGGACTCATCCTGCCCCAATTTCTGATAGGCTTCCTTCTTTATAGTTTTATTTTTTTAAAATATGTTTTTATTGTTTTCAGAGAGGAAGGGAGAGGGAGAGAGAAACATCAATGGTGAGAGAGAATCATGATCAGCTACCTCCTGCACGACTCCCACTGGGGATCGAGCCATAACTTAGACTTGAGGGAATCAAGCCATGACCTCCTGGTTCATAGGTCGATGCTCAACCACTGAGCGTTGTGGGCCGGGCAGTCGTCTCTTCCTCCTCCTCTTCCTTCTCCTCCTCCTCCTCCTCCTCCTCCTCCTCCTCTTCTTTTAATCATATTTTGTTATATATTGTCATGTCGTGCTGTTAAATGTATTAATGTTTACTAAATTGTCCTTTAATTCTATTTATCTAATATTTATGTTTATATGCTGATTTTTTATTGATAAGTACTGACGTAACTAACATGAATATAAATATATAGTAGGAAATGTTTCTTTATTTTCTGTTGTTATTCTTAGTTTGTATCTTGAAAACAATGTGAATATTATTTTCTTTGTTTTGTAAACTGAATTTTTATATTTTTAATAATTTTAGCATGTCATGGATATATAATAGTTGATATGATTGGATGTACTTTCTATTTACAATGTTACGTGTGAGAAGCGATGTTAGATATAGTTCTTTCTCTTGTGGATCTTATTATATAATGACCACTCTCATACATAATAACCTTAATTTTGTATATCCTGTTATAGGTGAAAAGTACTTTCTTATGTACTATTTATTTGTTCTTCCAAACTCTTTCAAATGGAGATCTTATTCCTATTTGAAAGGACAGAGAAATTAATTATATGGAGTTACAAAGTGGTAGTTTGGAATAGAGCATTCCTTCCTCAGTTTGTTAACTACATGATATAAAACCTTTATATAATCAGGAAAAAAATCCATGGAACCCATTATAATTATATTTTAGGGTCATTTTAATGAGCTACCCTATATGTAAAACTATTTCCACCTGTATATACTCAGTTCTCTTCTGTGTCTGACATTTTCCCTGGAGCAAAGATACGGTAATTCCCAAATTAAACACAGTTTCTGTCATCATGGAATTTGCCTTTGATTTAGAAGTTAAACACAGCATGGTCCAAAATAAAGGCAATAAATACTGTCTCAGATCCTATCTAAGAGTGTTTCTTCTGTCCCATTTTCTTTCCGTTTGCCCTCAATTGGCCATTTTGTGTCCTTAGTGACTGTGTAGTGCCTGGGACATAACATGGGCTCAAGGAGTGCGTGGTGAGTAGTGAGTGAATGCAAAATTCTGCTCTCTAGCTTCATCAATCACCACCTGCCATGGAATAAAAACTCAGTAAAGGAATTTGAACAGTTGTCACCATGGCTACAGCAAGGTTCTTGAATATATCATAAAACTCATGATTTCTCAATAATTGACTCCTGAAAATGGAACTCAAAAAAGACTCATGTTTAGTGGTTTTTCAGAATGACTAAATGTTATAAATTTTATGCTATCTTTCAATAACATGAGAAAAATTTGAATAGCAACTTTATATGTTTTTTTCAAAACTTTTTGTAGTGCTTAAATAGAAAAAGTATTAAGAAGAATATATATAGTTCTGGGCAAATCAAGCTTGGTTATTTAAAAGAATAATAGCATGTTTCTAGGGATTCTTTTTGTTCTACTTGGGTATATATTTTTGTTTTAATTTATAATTTTGAAAGTATTTCTATTTTATAAGGTATATATTTTTTGAAATATGTTCAGGAGTTTTAGAAACCTGAAAGTTATTTTTTATTGAATATATCTAAGAGAAATTTGAATGAATCCAAAGTAATTTTACTTTGTCTAATTGTAGTCTTTTCATTTCACACAAAGTAATCATAGCCTAGGTTTGCATTTGAAAAATACAAGACAATTGAGAGTGTAAATGGATTGTTATAGTTCAGTTTTTTTTTTTTGTTTTTTTTTTAATATATTTTATTGATTTTTTACAGAGAGGAAGGGAGAGAGATAGAGAGTTAGAAACATCGATGAGAGAGAATCATCGATCAGCTGCCTCCTGCACATCTCCCACTGGGGAAGTGCCCGCAACCCAGGTACATGCCCTTGACCGGAATCGAACCCGGGACCTCTCAGTCCGCAGGCCGACGCTCTATCCACTGAGCCAAACCGGTTTCGGCAAGTTCAGTTTTTTTTAAGTCAAAGTATTTAGTTTCAGTTTTTGGATTTTTTTTTTCTTAGTTGAAAGATTTATATTCAATGAGGAGGGAATGAGGCACTTTACAAATTATGGACATGAACTTTTTCTAATGCACAGATATATTTAACATAAAACAGAGCCTAGAGGTAAAGGTAATGATTGAATTGGCTTAAAAATGGGGATTGGAGGAGCACAGCGCTGTGTAAACTAAAAAATCCACCCACTTGTCTTATATTTGCTTTTTCAGAAGGTAATGGTGACTTTGAAGTAGAAAAATATTGATTCATCATGTTATAGCCAGAGGGATGTTAATACATTTTCCCTTTTTTCTTCCAGCACACTGATTTATGTCAGTACATGGACAAGCACCCTGGGGGACTGCATCCAGATAATGTGAAGGTAGGAAAAGATCTTTTTAAGCAAAGTATTAGCATTCTTCGTGTGCATTCTTTTGAGCCAAAGTCTGATGTCTCTACCATAACTTTTCCTTTTTAAAAAACTTTTATGTAAAGAGAATATTAAAGTGAACCACAGCCATTGTTTGTAGTTGGAAACCATGCTTCAACATTAAATATTTTCACTGGAGTATTATTGTTTAGATCTTATCATATTTTTTTCTTTATGAAGAAACATTTGCCAGGAATGAGTGAGATCCACTGGAATCCTATGGTAGCACTGTTTTTAGCAGAAGGGAAGCTCAGGTAGCTCTACCTTGGAACCCCATACTGAAGTACCAGTTATTTAGCATCAATATGAAGTATTATTATGACTCCAAACAGTGTTACGGTGAGTTCATGAAGCATACTTTTCATTTGTATGTACAAACAGATATAAGTGGTTCTATTCCTACTGCTGTCTTTCATTTCTTTTACTACAAATTGGATTGCTATGTGTCAGAAGAACTACATTTTTATGATTTTATCCCACAATTAAGGAATTGTCCCAAAATTGCAAGCTTAAAACAGAAGAGTCTTTTTGGCATATGTTAGGGAGTTAGAAGATACCAAGTTATACTAGTAGCTGAACATTTAACGATGTGCTCAGGTTTTGTAATTCAGATGACTACATTTCATGATCCCGAGAATTGACTGAGTACTACGGATGTATCTGAAGTGAATTATCTCAATTTCTTCCCAGGCATTGCCTATACCACTCTTCAGAACGTGGCGCGCGCGCGTGTGTGTGTGTGTGTGTGTGTGTGTGTGTGTGTGTGTGCGCGCGCACGCATGCTTTTCCCTTTGCTTGTAGAGGTATAGATGTGGGTATGAGTTTTGTGTATTTATTTTTTGCTTTATAAAAATAATACATATATTATTGTGTTATTTTTAATTTAAAATATATTGTGCATGTTCTTTAAAATCGGTACATGATATAATTCAGTCTTTCTAATAACTGCATATTAGTCCATAGTATCAGCGCTTTCCAGTTGTTTCTTATAAAGAGATCTTTGGGTTGTTTCCAAAATGTTAATGTTATGAGTGATTTTAGAGTAAATGTTAGTATAAACCTTTAAACTCTTATTTCTTTTGATATCTAACTGATGGGATATGTTAGGGAGTTAGAAGATACCAAGATATCTCTTTAATAAATAAGAGATATGATTTCAGTTTTAATGAATTTGATTGGAACATTTTCCCATAAGGTTGTAAATTAGAGGAGAGTTGGTTTTCTCTACTCTAACTGGCATTGACTGTAACCAGTCATTTTAATTTTTGCCATTCTGATGAGTAAAAGTGGAATGACTTTTATGTTGGGTGTTTTCTTACCTGCTGTAAGACCATCTTAAGTTTCTTAGCCATTTGTAATTCTGATTTTATAAGTTGCCTGTCTTATATATTGCCCACTTTTTATTGGGTTTCTCTTTTTCTTAATAAGTTGCATGTGCTTAATAATTTGTGTGGTATTAATAATGAGAGTTTTGCCCTAGCCTGTTTGGCTCAGTGAATAGAGTGTCGGCCTGCAGACTGAAGGGTCCCAGGTTTGATTCCAATCAAGGCACATGTCCAGGTTGTGGGCTTGATCCCCAGTGGGGGTTGTGCAGGAGGCAGCCAGTGAATGATTCTCTCTTATCATTGATGTTTCTGTCTCCCTCTTTCTCTCTTTTCCTCTCTGAAATTAATAAAAAAATTTTTTTTAAGAATAATGAGAGTTTTTATGGTGGTCAGTAAAGTTGTATAATTTTAAAGCATAAGACCTCTGAAGAAGCTCATTTTTATTTATTTGTAAAATGTTTTTATTGAAATTTAGAGAGGAAATGAGAGGGTTAGAGAGATATAAATATCGATGGGAGAGAAACATCATCTATAAGCAACCTCTTGCATGCCCTCTACTGGGGACTGAGCCCACAACCTGGGCATGTGCCCTGACTGAGAATGGATCCGGTGACCTCCTGGTTCATGGGTCGATGCTCAACCACCGAGCCACCAGTTGGGCACAAATCTTGTTTTTTAAATAGAATCGACATGGTGCTCAGAGTTTGTTAGTTTCTTTTATATGCCTCCTTTTGGTTGTGTTTTTCTTTTATTGATTAAAAAATCTTTTTGACTATTCATTTTTCTTCAAAATCTGTATCCAATGACAAAATCTGTATCCAATGACAAAATCTGTATCCAATGACATAGTTTTAGTAGTTAGATTGGGGAAGAAATTTTAACCGATGGAAAAGACTTGTTTTATTAATCTTGCCCATATTTAATAAACATTACTATCACATGAACGTATGTTTGTTTTTTACAATTACACATCTCGATTTGTCTCATATATACATTAAAGGTCCTTTTCCTAGGATTGATGGGGTTTAAAATCAATCATACAATACCTCCTTATCCCTGTTTCGCACTTTAACCCTGGGAATATATAGAGAGCCCAGTTAGTGAGACCTTCAGCTCTGGGGAGTCCAGGGGACTAACAGCCTCAGTGGAAATCAACAGCTACTCTAAGTTAATTTTCACTTCTCGACTTCCAGATTCAGTGACTGGACTGAGATTAAAGAGCTAAATGAACCTTTTCAAATAACATGGCATCGCTGGCTTTTTATTATGCATGCTTGGTTTTTTCACCCACCTTTTGTGTGTCATGAGTTTGGGGCAAGTATTGATGGAACATTTTGTTGGTGAAACAGAGAAGGAAAGGTCATTCCACAAAGTATCTACATGTTCATAATCCTTTGGCCAGTGTCATTGGTGATTTTTGTAGCATTTGTAAGTTCACTCCTTGAAATGGTATTTCAGCTGCTCTCAATCTAGTTTTGTAAGCTTTTCTTTCACCCCGTGGTTGTTCATTATACTTCAGAACTTCACATTGGCTACTTATTCCAAGTACAGGTTGTACTGTGACAGTAAATCAGCTTTGCTTCTGCAGGAGTTGGTGGTCTAGGCTGGGGTGAAAAACTTAATGGGGAATGAGATGCACAGTCCACATAGAAATAATGACAAGGAAATTAGATGCAACACCAAAAGCGAGTGTAGATGTTAGTCATGTTGAGCAGGAATTGTTCCCATACAGAAGTTGTTTAATGTCGCCAAAGATTGATGCCTTCCAACAGTTTTTGCCTCTGAGAAGAGCATGATGTGATTTACCTTTTCTTAGGTTGTTTTGAACAACTGAAAGGCAGCAAAATATGTTGAACTTATATAGGTATTTCTTTCCTCAGAGCTATTGAAATATTGGCTCCTTGAGGATTTATCAGAATGCACTGGACAGTCTTAGTTCTTGGAATATTTAAGGGTACTAGAAACCTCAGTAGTCATCTACTTTGGCTTCACAGCAGAGACACCTGAAAAGCTTAAAAAATAAAAAAGTATATATTTTAAAATATGTAAATGTAAAATTATCATCTCCCAAAATCAGAATCAAATTTTTAAAAATCACTGATGTAGGAAAAGATAGGCATTTGCCTAGACCCACGGTTGAGAGCTCAGGGTACCTCCCAGGACCCAAAGCCTCCCCTCACTTCCCTTTGGCCCTGCATGACTTTAGCCCTCACCCTGGAGGACATGTACACTTGCTGCAATCGTGACCTTTTGCTCTCTCACAGCCTTATGGCCTCTACTCTCTCTCTCTCACTCTGCCAGTGGGGTGGTTGTAGAGGGGTGTCCCAGAGTAGCAGGGCTGGGCATGTGAGAGGAGATAGAGGAGAGCATGAGAGACAGGAACAGCCTGTGGTGCTTCAAAAAACAGGCATCAGACCCATGCATCAAGGCAGAAAACTATAACATCCTTTTTGGAGCATCTAATCAGTCCAAGAGTACAGACCTAAAGAATAGAATCTAGGAGACTACAGTGAAGATCCTAGTTGACAAAGAAGTAACTTGGATGAAGTAAAGTTTTTTGCATTGATTAGACAGATAAAGATAGGAAAGAAAACTTTGAAGGAAATTACAATTAATATTCTCAAAGAGGTAAAAGAAAATAGTACATCTATAAAACAAGAATAAGTTATTTTTACAAAGAACTTGGTGAACAAAAGTAGCTTTGGAAATTAAAAATATGTGACAGAAACCAAAACAACAAAAATTAAAAAAGGATGAAAGATAAAGTTGAAGACATTTGCCAGAAAGTAGAGCATAAAATATAAATCTGGAAAATGAGAAAGTATCAATAAATCCAGAAGTCCAATGCAGCATATCCAACATCTGAATAATTGGAGAAAATAGAGGAGACTCACTAAAGTAATAATAATTAAAATATACTTTTTCACGATGTGAATTTCAATATTAAGAGGGTTCACTAAATACACAGAACATTTAATGAAAATATTATCGGTGGGGTGCCCTCTGAATCCCCATATATTACCAGTGGAATTGGAGTTGTTGGGGTACTGCGGGAACAATAATTTCCTGAGGCCCCCGTGGGAGAATGAGGTATCATGGAAAGCTTGTTGATGATTTAGCATTAAAAGAGTTCCCTTCCAAGGTCCCATCTCCCTCTGTACCACCGTGGAAATAGTTCCATCTTGTCTTCAGCAGAGCTAGAATTAAAGCCACTGCCCAGAGTCTTAGCTCCATATTAGAGCACAGTCCAGATTAGCATCTGGCTGGCTTAGCTTGTGTTCCCAGCTGCAGTCCATTGCGTGTGGGAACCATATCGCCTAAGGTATCATGGTGGGGTAGCACACTGGCAAGTGTGGGTCATGGAGCAAGCGAGAAGCAGAAGTGCAAAAGCAAGCAAACAAGAGAGAGAGAATTCTTTGGGCATTATAACTAGGAGCTTATCCAATTAACTCGTCAGGATTTTGCACACTTGTAATGGCTCTACTCCTTTAGCCAGTTATCTTTGTTCCCAGGTTATACTGACAGACAAGCACCTTCCCAACATCACCCTGACTTCACTGTGCATGCACCCATCTTCCCCTTTATTTGGTCCCTTTCCTCTGTGATCTGCAGGGAATGGACCCGTGG